AGGAAGGGGCTATCCTATAGGCACCTGGAAATACTGCAGGTAGCAGAGCCTAAAAAATAGACCAAGGAATAAATTATAAGGGAAGAAACCCACTCCCAGAAGAAAGTGGCAAACCAATCTTTTCTGGCAGAGTAAGAGGCTTTGCACACATTAGACATCCATAGGATGCAGGGAACCATCTTATTTAAACCCCTTAAAATTGCCATATGGAGAAAAAAATCTACAAAGACCAGCTGAGCAGTTTCCTGGAGTCAGATGCCTTAGGGAGAAATTCAAACACATTTGATGAGTGGTGATTGTGTGAGGAGGTTTAATTATGAGAAACCTATAATAGAACAGGGTCTCTTTTATAAAGCTAAATATAAAGTTCCTAAAAATAGATGCAACAGGATGGTATGAAGTCCTTGTAAAAGTAGGGGAGAAACAGAGGCACCACCATATCCACCAATATTCAATGATACCCTGGTCCCCAGTCAGGCCGGGACCCCAGGGCAGGGTTTCACTCACAGACTTCAGGCCTTCTCAAACCCGGAGCACGTCAGTCTCTGGATTTTCTCAGCTTGTGTGCTCCTTAAAACAGCCGCATTAGCCTAAATCGCCCCTCACATATTTTTAATTTGTCGTCCAAATTGAGTCATCATTAGTTAAACTGTTCCAGAGAATATAGTTTCTGGCATATTATAACACTGACACTTTAAAATGATGTTCTCTTCAATGTAGTCATTGGTTTACAAATGCCCTATCAAGGTATCATATACCATCCTCCATTATTAAAAATACAAAAGGATCCTTTATTTTGATCAGTGACAAGTTTTATATTGGTTCTATTTCTTTTTGAACTTGTATTTCCATTTCACTTCTTTGCAGAAATTTTATCTAAATATATTTTTAGTTGTTTTTATTAATTACCCTATAGTACACAAAAAATCATATAAATTGACATTTTAACTTTTAAATTTCCCCACAGATAAGGATCTGTGTTAAAAATAATTTATTTTAGATATAATAATAATAATATATTATAATAATAATATAATATTATTATTAATGCAAAATTTACCTAAAAATATAAAGTTTGGATAACACCAACAAAACAATTAAAATTGTACTAAAAGTCATTTAACAAAAAGGATACTTTTTAAAATTGTGTATTTATGATAATTAATAATTGATTGTGTAAGTGTATAAATGACAATAAATTCTTACATACATAATGAAGTAAAAATAAGCTAAACAAATAATTATGTAATTAAATATGTTATTAGTGATTAGAGTAACCGGTATTTTTTAATAGGGTAGGATTTCTTTTTCCTTTTTTTTTAGACCTATAGATTCCAAAACCCTTTATTCACATGTATAAATACATGGGAATGGAAGGAGGTTTTTAAAAGTAGTATTTTCAATTCTTTGAATTCCTTCTGAGTTAAAGACCAAAAATTGCATGGTTATTATTAGCACTCTTCAAGTATCAGGCCTTCTGTTTTGTTGAAAGAGAACTGGGGAACTACCTCACTTGCACAGAAGTTTATAACTCTTTTGTTATACCCAAGCTTTGTGATAGCTATACTGACATTTTAAATTGTTTCCTTTGGTGCTCTGAGAAATTTTTACACCTGGTGCACTGCAGCACACTGTGAACCTGTGTGGATAAAAAGTCTACCTTTCTTTTGTTGGTAGGAACAGGGATGTGTGAGAGAGAACACCCTAACATCAGATAGTTTCTTAGGAAAGAGACTTGTAAATCATTAAGGACCTGGAAATCATCTTAAAATCATATGTTCCATATATCTCAGGGTTGGGCCATTTTAAAGCTCCCCAAGTAGTTGGTCATGTTTGAGAACCCTTGTTTGAGGTTCAAAGGAGACCTCACTCCATAGAAAGAGCTTTTACCAGAGAAAAGCCTATTTTCAGTTCAATGTAAATAAGAAAGTGAGAGAGAGATTTTAAGGGCAAGGATCTTGGGAACATATGAATCTGGAGAAGTGAGTCCAGCACTCAGGATGCTTTCGTAATGGGGACATTTGCAATCTGGAAGAAATGTTGAGAGGTTGAGTTTTGCTACTCCATATCTTAGGGATAAGAGATAGAAATTTAAATTAGATGACAGGGCTAGCCCAGTTCTCTGATAAAATATATTCCCAATCTTACACGAACTCAAGGACTTAACACTATGAGCAAAGACAATCCAATTTTCACATAGCAACCCAGTTTCACAATATCCAGGGGCCTCCACAATGTCTTTCAAGGCATACTTTGAAGGACCACTCTATTATTCTACCATCTAGTGTTCCCAGATAGCTTAGTACACTAATTTTATGTGTAACCAAAACTTACTTAGGCAGGGAGATAATATCTCATGCCCAAATTATTTCTGAACTTCTAAAATATTAGATGTTTAAAATAGTCATAAAAAATGACTAGACACATGAAAAAAAAACATTGAATGAGAACCAGCAAAAATAACAGGAACAGACCCATAGAGACTCTCTACTTGCATAGACAAAAGTGATAGACTATAAAACAACCTGTTATAGTTTATGTTCGATGGCCCTCCAAGTCTCATGCAATCATGGAAGCAGCTGAATCTAGCATTCATGATTGGTTCATTGTCTGGCACTGAGATTGGTGGTGGGAGTGCTATACCTGCCCAGGAGTAGAGCCAGCATACAGTGTAACCATGGGGAGGAGGTGTGTCTTTCTCTCTTTTGCTGTTTGTGCTTGCTGTTTGCAGCTGCCGTGAACCACCGCCCCTTAGCCATGTCACTTTCCTTGGAGCCAACTGAGTATGGACCGAAATTTCCATTCTATGAGAAATAAACCTTCCCTTCCCTAACTTTGGGCATCAGGTATTTTTGTCTCAATAATGATGAGAAAAGCAACTAAGACACAACCATATTTCTATGATCAAAGAGATAGAAGAAAATTTTATAATTTTTTAAAAGATCTGTAAACTGTAAGAGTGGCACTGCAGATTTGAAAAATAACAAAATAGATATTATAAAACTGAAAAGACAATGGTCAAAATTAAGAACTCTGTGGCCAGGTTTAACAGTAAATTAGAAAAAGCTGCAAAGAATTAGTGAACAAAAAATATGTAAGAATAAAACACAGAGAGTGCAGAATGAAGAAAAAAAAATGTTATAAATAGACCCAAGATTGAGTGAAAAGTTCTAATAGATCCTCAGTTACAGTTACAAAGAGACTATCAATAAGTCTGAATAGAACAAAGTCACATCATAGTGAAATTTGACATTTTAAAAACAAAATAAGATTTTCAAAGCCAAAGGCAGTCAGCGGTCTTCATTTTAAAAAGGCCTATCAATCACAATTTCATATAGATGTTTCTAAATATCATCTCATTTTAAGAAGATATATATCTAGTCCATTATTCCCTATTACACCAAAATGTTCTTTTCCTTCAGTTCACATTCTTTAGGTATTTGATTTATAGTACTTGCTTATAGTTTTTGTCTCAGTTCAGCCCTTAAATATAATCTCCATGCAGGAAGAGGCTATGTCTCCCCTGTTTCTTACATTATTTCCGGAGAATTTTTAGTGCATGGCCTCTGAGTCAGCATGAGGGTAAGGCCAGTAAAAATCCTAGAGCAGAGATGGAAAGAAGTCCTCCCTTCTAGGGCCATTCCCCAAGGCCAACTTATACGAGAATAGAAAGCCTTAAAGATTTTAGAAAGGAAAAATTTGTATTTTTCTAAAAGACTCACTAATTTGTTTGGCAATCCCCTTCTTATCAACCACACTGGACAGTGGAAGATAACAGAACAAATCTTTCAACTAAGACAAAAGATTTTTTCACTTAAAATTCTATACCCGAGTCTATGGTTTGGGTATAGTTGGTCTCCAAGACATTCACGTTCTAGAGGCAGGTCCCATGTGGCACCGCTGGAGGGAAGGAGCCCTTCAAAGGTGAGGCCTAGTAGAAGGCAATTAGGTCAGGAGGCAGCACCCTTAGGTATAGATGAAAGCTGTATCTAGGAAGTCGGGTAGGAGTGGGCCAATTGCAGTGAGAGGCTGTTGTACAAAGAAAGCCCAGTCCCTCCCTGGACTCTCGCTTCCTTGCTCACGTGTGTGCACACATCTTATGCTCATATGCTGTCCCATTCTGCTTCTCTTCCAGAGGGCCCTCAATCGGGCAATGGTGCCATGCTGTTAGGACCTTCTAGGCCCTAAAATCATGAGCTAAATAAACCCCTTTTCTTTATAAAATTCCTAGCCTCATCTGAAAATGGACTAAGACCTAGAGCCAACATTCAGATAGAAGGGTTAAATACAGCCCTTCTTTGAACAGAAAGTTTTACAAAGTCTATTGTCCTGGCCTGTGAGTAAGTCCACAGAGACCCTAGAGAGGGAGTGGGGATGAAAAGGAATAAGAGACACAAGGACGGAGACAAGATGAAGTCCTTCCGTTCAAGTCTCATTTATTCAAGGAAGGAGAATCAAATACATAGGGTATTGGGGAGGAGGGAGTTGGGTTCTGAGACCTCAGTGGGTAACTTAGCAACAGTGGCAAGACCAAGGTTTATAGGTCAATTCAAATTTCCCACGCTTGGGCTCATAAAGTGGCCTGATTAACATAATCCCTGAATAGATCAAACAAGCTAGGTAGGCAAGGTGCTGCTTAACTACCAAACTTAACTCGTAGAGAGAGAGAAGGTGGTGCGGCCTGCAGGTTTAAGGTGGCAGCCAATTACAGGGCTTCCCATAGTTTATCATCTTTAGCTCCTTCCTCAAAGAATTACTCGATAACACTTCACAAAATTTTAAAAAAAGTGTGAGACACAAAACATTTTGAGTAGAAAGATGGGTAATACATTCTAAATGATTCTGGAACACTGTGCAAAGACTAATGAACCAACCTGGAACTGAATCATTTCCACATGGTGGAAGGCGGAGACAACTGCTAGATAAGAACTTCCCCCAGCTTCTGTCTTCTTACTTGGTAAATCTACAACCATGGTTTAATTCTAGACATGGAGACACGATGTGTTTGATATATTTATTATATTTTCTAACAAGTATTACAAGGATTGAAATAGTACACAGTGCAAATGCATGAATAAAAAATCAGAAAAATTAATCCAACAGTAGTTACATATTTGCTTTTATAAACATAACTCATAAGGAGTTTTGAAAACCCAGCATGATATACACTAAATATTTTGCCTTTGGAGAGGAGAAGGTACTGTGAGGATGAAGGAAACTCATTCTTTACTCCTCCTGTTTCTGATTTGATTTTCCCAAATAATTGTATTCACTTATTACACATATAATTTTTAAACATTAGCATTTTTATCTACTAAAAATTCTAATGGGAAGGTTTTCTTTGTCTTTTTCTCCTCTGTCCCTGTCTCTGTCTCTCGGTCTCTCTGTCTCTCCGTCTTTCTCTCTCTCTCTCCCTGACACGGATACTCTTACACTGCTGGGGTTGAGAAGAAAACCATAAATGGATAGAAATTCTTTAAAAATAAATTTGGCAATATATCATTGGTCATGTTACAGATCATGTTCTTTTACTGTAACTTCCCAGTTTAGAGCTCATCCTAGGGAAATAAGATTAATGATGAGACTAAATATTGAAACAGAGATATTTATTCCTGTAAATAAGGGTAAGGGCAAAAATTTAGAAATGCCCCAAATGTAAAGGTCCAGAAATTATAAATTAAAGCATATATATGGGATATAATATGCAATCGTGAGTCATTATACTGCAAGTAGTTTGCAGTAAATTGGGAGATATATATGTTATTTATTAAAATTACTAGTTCATATGAATTGTACAAAATAGTGAGTTTCAATGTGATATTTTCATACATGGATATAACAAGCTCTGATCATGTGTACCCTCCCTATTATCCCCTTGGAAAAAATGGAAGTACTGAATCCAAATAGCTCATGGACACAACCAGCATTTCTAAAAATGGAAGAAAGGATTTTTTTTTTTGCAAAAGTTCAGTCCATAATAAGGATGTATCAGAGAGGACCAAATTGAGCGAAGAAATGCCATCCTAAAACAGTAAAACAGGCTGGAGGGAGACATTGTGCAGAGGGGGAAGTGGTTCCTGGCTGCTCCAAACTCAGAGCCGACCGGTGTGAAGACCAGGAGGCAGCTGCAGGCAGCGTGGGCAAGTTACAACCACCTGATCCTGGTGGCCACACTGCTGGGTTCCTCCCTTTACCTATTTGTGCAGAGAAGACCATCCTGTGCAGCCGTGACCATCTTCAGCAGTGCTGAGTTTGCTACTTCTCCGTCAAGAGGAAAAATCTAGTTCCTCCTCCCTCTTTGACTGTGGATTGGCCTTGGTCACTTTCTGGAACAAAAGATTGTGAGTGTGGGGGTGTTGGCTTCTGGGATGAGGTCAGAAAGGTCTCCTGACTTCCATTTTGTCCTTTTGGAAAGTTCAGTCTTCAGAAATTTCCTCTCATGATGGTCTCTCAGAATTCAGAGGCCACATGGAAATGTCCAATCAGCATCCTCAGATGAGCCCAGCCAGGTAAGTTTCCCTGCCTGAGGCTCCAGATGAAGAGGGGCAAAGAAGACCTCCACATCCCCCTCCCACAGGACATATGAACAGAGCAATGTGGCTCTTATCTTAGTACACTGAATTGTAGGGTGGCTTTTTTCACTTCAGTAAAAATTAGAGATATGGGTTCATGTTTAATTTTCTCTTACTGTCTTCAAAATTTGTCTTCACAGTTGATCTGTCTAAATGTTTAAACTAAGATCCAAGAAAGGTGATATACTGCTTTAGGTTGATACTTCCACTAAATCTCTTTTAGGTCAAATGAATGTATCCTTTTGTTCATTTCTACGCTTATCTGAAGAAACAATTTTGATCTTATAGAATATCTCCCATTCTGCTTTGGATGATGTATCAGTGAGCTAAACATTGCTTTCCATGTTCTCCTATGCCTGGATTTCCTGCAAAGTGATGGCTTTGCCCAAAACAGAGTTGCAAATTCTTTCTGTAAAGGATCAGAGTCAATATTTTAGAATTTTTTGGCTACTTGCTCTTCCTTTAAGGCACAAAAGCAACTTCAGGGGATATGTAAATAGATAAGTATAGCTATGTGTAAATAGGTAAGTATAGCTGTGTTCAAATTGAACTTTATTTTCAAAATGGGTGACAACAAGATTTGGCCCATAGGCCACAATTTGCTGGCTGTAATCAAAGATGATCAAACATAAAGATAATCAGATAAAAAACAAGTGCACAATCCAGAAGTACCAAATATGTAAGGGAAACCAATATCATGAGACAAAAACCAAACTAGTCTTAAATCTGTAGAAACAGAATGAATGAAACAAACAGAAGAAAACTTTTGAGAGGTGTTTTTTTTTTAGAAGTGTTGTATGTTAAATGTTCTAGATAATTAACACATATCACATTCCTAAAACAAGAAAGGGCTATTACGATGACATGTATTTAGATATTTTAGAAATGAAAAATGTAACCATAAAAATAAAACTCTTAGTAGATACATTAAATAACAGACGATACAAACTAGGGAGCATGTTAGCCTGCAAAGTATACTGAGAAAGTGTTTCAGAATATGAAACTAAGGAAAACAAAAGGATTTTTCAGTGGGGCATGAAATATCAAACTCACAATCTTGGAAACAAAATAAATATTTGGGAACATAGAAGTTATGGCCAAAAATTCCAAGAGACAAGAGAAATGGATGGAAACAGCTAGGCAAAGAAATGATAATTAGACTTCCGGGAGAACATGGCAGCAGCTACAGAGGCTGCAGCTACAGAGGCTCTCTGAGAGACCCAGCTTAGAATCCAGGAATGGTGCTGAGTGAGGAATCCTAAGCAAGAGGAGATATGCCCTGCTGACCCAAGAACGAACTGGGCTGAGAGATACCAACTTGGAATGCAATCCTGGTGCTATAACAGGAACAGATAAAGCCTCAGCATGGAAGCTGGAGCCCGAGCCATTGGAAGCCCCGATTTGGGTTTCCTGCCGCTGCTGCTGTGTCTGAATCGGCTCGGCAGGGAAAGAGACATGCCAAAGCTCTGAGAACGGGAATCGGTGAACAGAGTTGAGAGCGGGACGGGCGGGGAGCTGTGCATCGACCTGTGGTGAATGAGAGAAACTGGGACTCTTCCATGGTCTAGGAGGCTCCAACAGAGGATATTCTGGGACTGGGCAGACTTGCTGGAACAGGGCACTGTAGTGACTTCAGTCACATATCCCCCTCTCAAGCAGGATTGGTGAGCAGTGCCTAGCCTACGTGACGCTGCTGGCTGAGACCCAGTAGGCTAACACAACCCAGGTCCCAACGCCTGAAGGTGCACCCTAGTGGTGAAGCCTTCGGTAAGTTGACCTGGAGGGGTGGGCCCTGCATAGGCTGCCCAGTCTGTAACTCCCTGCTGTGTTGCAGTGGGCGGGAACACCTAGCCAGTGCAATTCAATCAGACTGTGACTGACAGGGAAGGAAGCTGGGCCTCCTATATATGCTTGCATATATAAGGAACAAAGAATATGGGAAGAGGGAGCAACAAGAAAGGCTCCTCAGCCCCAATCCTGAGAATAGCAGACATGGCATCAATAGACATAAAGTGCTATCTCCAGAGCCTCATAGACAAGTTCAGGAATGAAGTTATTAATGACCTGAAGCTAGACATAAGCAGAATACTTAGAGAAATGCTAAGCACCACCCAAGAAAAAACAGATGGTGGAATGGAAGAACAGAAAAAGAGGGGAGAATTGTTTGATGGAGAAAATAGACAAAACATAGAATATGTGAAGCAGGTTCAAAGAGATTACCAGGAAACTAAAAACTCTATCAAAAACTGGCATAATAGCTTGAAAGAAACTAAGGATAGCTTATCTGAACTGGAGGGCAGATTTGTAATATGGGAGCATGAAATGAAAAACTTCTTAAGAATAACAATGAAACAAACAGCAATAATACAAAGACTAGAAGATGATAAGAGGATCTATAACTTAAGAATTAAGAACATAAAAGAAGAGGTAGGGACACAAAAAATGAACTACAAAAGCTACTCACAGAAATAATACAGGAGAATTTTCCTAATTTAGCAAAAGGTAAAGATACTCAGATGTATGAAGCATACAGTACCCCAGCCACCTACAACCCAAACAGAGCTACATCTAGGCATATAATAATCAAAATTCCAGAAATCCAATATAAGAACAGAATATTAAAAGCCATCAGAGACAAGAAACAGATCACTTACAAGGGAACACCCATCAGAATTACAGCAGACTTCTCAACACAAACCATCAAATCACAAAGAGCACGGGGGGAAATAATTCAAGCTTTGAAAGATAATAATCTCCAGCCAAGATTGATATATCCTGCACAACTATCCCTGGAAATTGATGGAAAAACACGGTGCTTCCAGGATAAAGAGGAACTAGGGGAATATGCAACCACCAATTCAACTCTACAGAGAATACTGCAGGATATTCTAAAAAAGAAAAATACGAAGAATCCAGAAATAGTGGCAGAGAGGCCACAATGAATGGAGCAGAAAACAAAATGAAGAAGACAAGCTGACAACTAATGACAGGAAAAGAGCTCAACAGAAATGAGGCAGAGAAGATTGGATGATAGGAACAGCTATTTTGGAGAAAACAACGTCATAATAGGTAATGCTGATTTAGTATCATCTTGTTTTGAAGTCTCATCAAGCTTTTGTTCTTCTGTCTCCATTGGTCTTAACATGTTATATCTTATTGGATTTTATTATATGTGATAGTATAAACAAAAACTTTTATAGACAAGGAGATTACACAGAAACCATTGTTCATTTTCTGTTAGTTGATTCTAAATACCCTGTAATACTGTCATTCTCTTGAATGGTTTTACATTGTTTTGAGATATTTGATGCTACAGTATACGAAGTTATACTCAAAGATTTCAAGGAAAGAGACAATATGGTAACTACTTTTATGTCGGGATTATCTTGTGGTGAAACACTATTTTGCTTAAATGGTTATGTTTTGATCTGTGCTATTATGTTGTTATGCCCTCTTTTATCTCAATCTCCATTTTATTATTTACTTTTTTATTTTTATCCTTTTAATTAAGGGAAAAATACATTAAAAATTGCAGGATATATTATAGTAACCCACTTTGATTTACTATTATCTTGATTTAAAGCCCTGTATTGCTCTCACCATCTTGTTTTGACTGATGTTCTTCTATTCTGTTTTGCTTGATAGTACCAGGTTCGAAAGTTTAGGCAACAGCTGTGAAGATAGTGGGATTCATTATGACGCCCATTCAGGTTGACTATTATCTACTTTTGAAGACCTGTAATGTCTCCAATGTTTTGGTTTTGTTGGTTTCGTTCTTTACTGTTTTGTTCAATTATATTATAACTGATGATATAGGCAATTCCATTTGAGATAGTGGGAGGCATTATGGTAACCACTGTTGATCACCTTGTATTATGTTTTTACATTATCTATTATGTTCACCCTTTTGATTTGACTGACTCTGTTCTGTTATGTCACATTTGGTTTTACTCTCTTCAAAAAAAAGTAATAAGAACTGTGGGAGCAATAAAACCCAAAATGTGTAATAGTCATTGTACAAAAGAGAGGAAAAGAAAGTGCTCTAAACGATATAACTGCATGTATATTTAAGTGTATAAGATAGACAATGATATTACTGAGTTTTGTTGGATCATTGAACAGAACTGTTTGCAGTCTCACTGTTTGAATGTCCACTTTATAAGCTTTAATTTTGTAACTTGAACAAATATTTCTAAGATGACAATATGTAATTCATTAACTAGTGATTTCCTACTGTTTTTTTTTCTGAAATTCTGTATAACTTGTACCCTTTTTCGGCTTTCTTTTCTTTTTCTCCTTAAATAAAATTTTAAAAAAAAGAAATGATAATTAAAAAATATTTTTCTTGAGTTTTTTTTAAGCATGATTCTTTAAATAAGAATGGTCCACTGGTTCACAACCAAGGATGCATGGGGAAGGGGAAGGTTACCCATGCATAGATGTATGGTGATAAAATTTCAGAATTTTTGGTATAAAGATTTCTAAAATCTCCACACATATATCCAGAGTCTACAGGTGAATCTAATTTGCAAATAAAATTGGCAGTTGCTGTTTTCTGTAGCAATAATCTGGGACTCAGAACCAACTCACCTGTTCTTAGTTTAGTTAAATGCATCTTTAAGGTTCCAGGTCCGCCTTCCCTTGCAGAGCCCCTATTTGATGGCTTCATTGTTAACCTCACTCCCCTCCACCACCGAATAGGCACCTTTGATCCTGTGCCCTGACCAGGCTTCTGTTGACCCATGCACTTCCCATGCACCTGCTGACTTTAGCATTTTTAAACTCCAAGGTGCTGCTTTTGGGGCCAGCTAAGTCCTGTGTTCAGTCCCTGGTCCCTGACTGCTCCTGTCCCTGTCATTGTCTCAAGATATGGGGTCTTCCATGACTCACTGATTTACTTAATAAACACGTAAAGAGTTCAGGATGTGCTAGGTCCCAGGAAAACAGAGCTGCCTTCAGTCTGATGCTTGCTGAACAGGGATTCTACCTGGAGGCAGATCTGAAGGGAAAGAAGTGGACCACTGTGACAAGGGCAATCACACGGATTTCTCCAAAGACAGTCCAAGGGCCACCAGCTCAGACTTTGACAAAGTTCTAAAAAATTTCAGATTCCCAGCTGCAGCTACCCCTGGGAGGATGTGGCTCAGGGATCTGGCATTTTAAACAAGTTTATGATAAAAAAAAATGTGATAACCATTGACTTAAAGAGCTGTTTCCCAGGTCTCTGGTTCGTTTTAGAAGGAATAGGAGCAGTGTGGGAAAGGGTGGTGACAGAGGAGCTGGCCTGATGGCCCTCAGGAGCCAGATCCCACAGCACCTGCCCTGGAAGGAGGTTGGGCTCTGCAGGATGAGCTGTAGGGAGTCAATGAGAATCTTTAGGGTAGGGGAGGACACATAGGCACAATGGAATAATTTTAAAGGACAACTCCTACAGCTGGTTGGAAGTAGTGGATTGGGGACAAGGTTGCAGATAGAGAAAGTAACCCAAGTCATCAGTGATATAGGACTAACCTAACTCAGTAGCAAGACAGAGAAGGGGAGAGAAGAAGTCTGGTAGGAAGGCAGAATCAACAGGCATGAGCGGGGAGGTCAAAACTGGCCTTACAACTCTGTTCCCGAACCCTGTAGGTGATGGGGATTGAGCTCTCAGTCCACTGTCTGCCTTCTTCCCTGACAGCAAAGCCAGCCTCAGCTCTATCCAAAAGACATACAGATAGCATACTTCTGTTGTACTGTTAGACCTTTTCTAAAAACCCTGGATAAATCAGTTACCCTTAATATTTTGTTATTATAAGATAGCATTTTGTAACTGATTTTAAAAATCTAAATCTAAATATGAGTACGTATTTCTTCTGCCGTTTCCCCAGAGGTTCCTACTTGGATAGCCCTTTGAAGAATTGGTACCCAATGCCTATGCCATTCTCCAAGTTCCAAATCACCTCACAGCAGCCAGCAAAAGAAGATGCAAGATCAGAAGTGAATAGAGGGTCCCTTCTGGACAAACCTCAACTTTCACTCAGTTACAGGAATGTCATACACCCACTTTCACGGGTGGCTCTAGATGACCATAAAAACCACACACTTTACAACTGAGTGATGGGTGATCACACAAAGGGTTACTTAGTCTGTTTCTAGTTGTCTGAGGGCTTTAAGGTGAGGCCTCTCAAGCTTACATAGTCACCTGGACTTCAAAAGTAAATCACTTAGAGCTGTACAGAGTGAAATAATGGTAACTGCTGATTCATCTTGATGAACACTCACAATCCAACAATAAAGTAGGTATGACTGAACTGAACTGCATGCTTGATAAAATAAATGCTTTTATCTATAGGTGAGATGCAGAACTGCATTAACAATGAAATAGATTAATGTGAAATAATGGGAAGATTCTAATAACTGCTTACAATTTACAAAGCACTTTCTCATTTGATCTTCAAAACAAATTCAAAGGTAAGTTGTCTTGTATTCTCATTTTACAGATGAATAAACTGAGAACCAGAGATTAACTCAGCGACCCAAGAACACACAGCCAATACCATAAAATTGCTGTGATGCAAGTAACAGAAAGTCCAAACCAAATCATGCTAAGCAGTAAAGGGACAGTATAAGCTCATGTAACAGAGAAAGTCCACTGTCGGGATTTAGGTACAGTTGGATCAGAAAACTCGATCTCTTTTACTTTGGTTGTATTGGATTTGCCTTTCTTTATGTACCAACCTCGTTCTCTAGCTTTATTCTCTTTATTCTCCAGTTTTATTATCCAGAAGGAGAAAGGGATTTTCTTCCTGAAGTCATCAAACAAGAGTCATAGGCTTCACTTTTAGTGCACTGGTGGCCAGAGGGCTGCTACATGCTGATTGGCTCAGGGTGGGGTATACGGCCATGCAGTGGTCAGTAAACACCCCAGTGAAGGCCACAGCCCAGTTCTTCCAGGGCGGGGGTGGGGGTGGAGAGTGGATGCTGCAGAGCCAACCACATCTACCATAAGTCGGCACTTTTAGTTCAAGTCTTACGACCTTAAATGCTACTGGAGGCTTTTGTTTTATTTTACCCCTATATGTCACATTTTCTTGTTCTTCACTTCTGGAGTTTATGAGCCAGAGTAAAACTGTATCTGTTTCCAAAGCATCTAAACAAGCCTAAGATCACCAGAAGTCTTTCCCACCCCTGTGCACCAAGACTTTGCTTCTTCAGTTACTATGTTAACTCAGGTCCCTCTACATCTCTCGTCCTCTTCATCTTTCAAATGAATTTCTGTCTCGTGTCAGAGCCCAACAACTGGGAAGACAAAAACCACTCTGAATCTTTAAAACAGAGGAAATTAATGCAATGAGATGAAAGAAGCACAGAAGTCAAACAAGGGATGATGAGGCAATCCTGACAGTGGTGGCAGGAAGTTGCTGCTACTCCTAGGCTGGAGGGTTGAGACGAGAAGGCAGTGCTACCAGAGCCCAGGGACTGGGCTTGCCCAGAGGAAGCTGGAACCATGACAGTTTTCTGGTGAGAACAGAGCTGTAAAGAGAGATGGCAGCTGCCGAGGGGACTAACCAGTGAGGGAGACAGAAAATGCCCTGACCTCTCTCTTCCAGCTGCCTCCTTTGGCCAAATCCAGCTGGAAGCCAGTGATGTGGGGGTCTAAGGACTGCACAGAGCCAGAGCTGGGGAGGAAGGCTGAGGAGCTCAGGCCCAGCAGTCCTAGAGTAAGCCTATCACCATGACAAATGTCATAGATGCTCACCATGAAAATTCTAGAAAATACATATATGCAAACAGGAAAAGGTAAAAATTATCATGCTATTAGTTTAAGAGTAGGATTAAGTCACCCCATCCTAGGGGACTGCTGGAGGGCTACCTATTCTCATCAGTCATAGAACAGTTATGTTTTGATTCTTTCCCTATCAATAGGCCAAGCACTCTGGCAGTTTAACAAATTTGGGGTTTTTTTAATTTGCTCTTTGTGTGTCCTACTCCTATTAAACCTAGGGCCTCATTCATGTATGCTGAGCAATCTATGAGGTTTTTTTTATATATGTATCCAAAGAAATTTAGTTTCTCCTATCAAGTCAAAGGTATACACACACACACACACACACACACACACACACAAAGATTTTAGAAAGCATATGATAGATCAGGTCTTTTCTGTCTGCCCAGGCTACTAGGAGACTTACAGAAATTTCTCATACTCAAGACCAACCACTTTTGATCCTTGGCCTCTTCCTTCTCCATGTTTCAAATTGTATTGTATTACATTAGCTCTATGTCATAATGTAGGTGTGTGTATGAAAAAGATGGGGATAAATACGAGCATACAGGTCAGAGGACCTGGAGTTATTTCCCTAGAAGCTTGTAGGGTATCTCATGTCCTGTCCAACATTGTCCTCTCTAAGACAGCCAGCCAGCCATGGCGGGGGCGGGGAAGGGTCATCTGCCATAATGGAACAGACTCTATCACCCTCTTCAACAGCAAATGGCCACCCTGCACTCATCTATGTCATGCGGCATCACCGAGGGAGACCACGTCCATTGTGCAAATCACGAACATTGCCTCTAACTCAGGAAATTGGGAATCATGCCTGTGTGTTGAAATACACCCTGGATCAGTAATTTTTCAGCTAAGACTGTTCTATTGGGCATCTTGACAACAGAAACAGGTGAAGTACCTGTGGGGTTATAGTTAGATTTTTAATTAGATTGGGCATTTTATTAAGTTGGGTAAAGTTTTGCAGGTCAAAGCATTGCCCCCTCAAGCAAGCACCTCTCTGTCTTGCCTGGCTTCCCTGATTCACAAGTTAGTTCCTCATGAAATGTTTTTCTTATACTTTGTTTATTTGAAATTGCTATGATAGTCTGGGCAAGAGGCCCAGTTTAATATAAGTTTTACTGTTGCTACTGCATCCCCAATTCTATCAGGACGGTTATTATCGTTGTTGTCTAAAACACCTTACCACGGCAATTACCACGGCCAGGTGTGCTCCCATACACACCCCACCCATCCTCCCACCCCGCCCCATCCACCCACCCCACCCTTTCTACTTCAGAGTTCAGAGATGAAGTCAGAGCTCACTACCGTGCCGCGAGATCGCATGAATTCGTGACTCGATAGCAAAGCAAAATAGATATTCAGTAACTAGCTCAATAATGTGATTAAGACAGGTTAAATAGTTCAAATTATTTAAGCCCTAAAGTATCTTATAAGTTGAGAGAATTTGAAAAATTCCCCCATTGCTTCTGAGTTCTAAAAACATGCATATGTTGCTATTACAGCATATTTGCCTCCCTAATTATATTTTACATAATCTGATGCCTTTGGATTAGTTTGGAGCAAAGATCTGCCAAAAGATAACCTGGTAGGCTGGAGAGAAGAACTGACCACAGGATACCAGCTAGAGTTAAGCATTGGATGGGGGCTGAGGATACAGCTCAGCGGCACAAACACCAGCCTGGCAAGGGCGAAGTTGTGAGTTTAATCCCCAGTTCAAAAAATAAATAAATAAATAAATAAAAGAAGAAGAAAAATTAAGTATTGGTGACAATAGTATAGATTCAGCAATAAAAAAAAGGCAGGACCTTTTGCAGCAATTGGTCTGAAAAACTGATGTGTCCATGTGTATGTGTGTGTGTGTACAAGTGTGCACGTATGTGGTCTCTTGCAAGTTTTACAGAGAAATACTTTAGAGCAGCATTGCTGAGAGTCAGACCTTTAGCATTATTTTCAAGCACAGGTGTAGAAGGCAAGGCATTGCAATAATAATCTGCTTCAGGGTGTGGACATTAGCCAGCAGACGTGCACTTCTGGATTCTTGCCAAGACCCGAGGTAGAGCCTGGGCCTGGACTTGTCCACAAGGTTCATGTCTTCAGCAGATAGAGTCTTGATGCAGAATTGGATCCCATGAACAATGAGACTTACTGGAAAAACAAATAAAATGCTTTAAATGTTCAAATTCATTCCCAAGTATTCATTTTCCAAATATTTAGAGCCTGAGCCAACTGGGCCAACAGTGCAAGTTTCCTGTGCATGTTGGACAGTTTCAACTATCTCCTTAAGATCAGCAAATATATCACAACTTAAAATATTATCCTCTCAGAGCCAAAGTAAATTCCCAAGGTACTGCTCCAGGAAATCAACTAGGTGTCTTCATCCAAAATCCACCTTTATAATGTCTGTAGGAGCAGATTAATTTTAGTAGATCTAGTAAATTTTTCCAAAGGTCTCCATGAGACCACAGTCTGTAGCCGCTATGAGTATGCAGTGTACACCTGAGTGGAAATGATGATTGGAGAGTAGAGATGGATGGGAGAAAGAAAGAGAGAGAGTAGAGCTACAGAAAGAGCAAAATCCAGCCTAGAAAATACTGGTAGCCATAGACAGCTTTGACGTCTGAACCAAATGTTAAGGGCTAAAAATTTGGGTAAACCAAGAGTGTTTAGTTTGGTGTTTTGACTTTTTAAGAGACAAGAAGTCCAGAGGGCTGACTATCTTTTTGCATTTAAATTTCTCTAAATTCAGTAATCCAATAATCATATAATTTATTCTCTTTTTCTAGGCATAGCCATACCAAAACTTCCTTTTTTCCATTTTTTTTCTAAGCCTCCACATTGAAGAAATTGAGAGAATGAAAAAACCACGGTACTACAGGGAATGTGTCAACTTCCGGAGTTTAATGATCTTATCTTTTTATTTTAATTTATTAGTGCATGTGTGTAATACATAGTGTTTACATTCCCCGTGAGAAGTTGGCCCATGTACGTAACACTTCAGTTCTTGTTCAATCCTTTTTCCTTCCCTCCATGCCCTCTCTACCAGGTTCTTGATTCTCTTTCCTCTTTTTTTGTGCATTTCATAATAGTTGAATCTTAGAAGTGGGTCACACATAATGGAGTACCACTGTGCCATAGAATAAAATAAACTGTCTTTTATATGGAAAAGGTTGAACCTTGAGACAGTAATGTTAAGTGAAATACATCAGAAACATATGCTTAAATATCACATGGTTTCTTTTATATGAGAACCCCAAAATACTAATAAAGAACAAAATAAAAGATAATAATAGGAAGGGAATTCTCAAAGGGGAAGGGATCAAGAAATGCAGGGAAAGGGAAGACAGGAAGGGAAAAGCAATGATGAAAAGAAATTGGGATGCATTATAAATATGTACCAACTCCACTCAAGGAGCATAAACACTGTGTGCAGAAATCACATCTTTGTCTAAGATATTCTACAATATAAAATATCAGTGCTTTGTTTAGTCTTCCCCCTTGGTCCAGGTAGAACAGTGAAATTGAGCTTTACATGCATTTAATATTTGTAGGACAAATTGCAAGAGTGAGAACAAAAGAAAAATGAATTTTAAAACTTGCTCTTAAAAACTACCTGCCCCAGGATTAAGATGAGCAATGAATTTGTTCTGCCCATTCTTTCTCCATGTCTACAGATCGCTCACTGTGCTGCCTTTGGCTTAAAATAAAAATTTCTCATACACTGCACTCGACTCTGAAGTTCAAGTTAACTGCTTCACTGGTGACAAGCAAGAAAAGCAAGCACACTCCAGTGAGAAAGGGCTGAGCAACAGTAGACGCCTCCCTAGGAGAGTTTCAAGGGAAGCTTCGTTTTCTGTGATCTCCATCTCAGGTCTGACTTTAGAATGTGGCCCTCCCATCAGACACAAGTCTGCTGACTGTTCCTCCCAAGGAAGAAAGAAAAATACAAAAGAAGTAGACTCATTTTTCTGGCATTTCTGAACTTACGCCAGAGCTAGAAACTTACTTTCTTCAACTCCTTGCTCAACTGCAAAGTACACGGCAGTCATCTTTTTCTCAGCTTAAAGTGATCTAAAAAGAAAAGATTTGGAGACAGAGAACCATTTATTCATTCATCAAAGACTCTCAGAGGGCCAATGGTACATCAAGCACAGGACTCAGCGTTATGTTTGTACTGAATGAAAAAAGGGAATTAGAAGGCCTAGGTTTATACCAGCTTAAACATGGCATGATTTCTCTTATATGAGAAACTCAGTCTATAAATAAAAGGCAAAAAATAAGAAAAAAAGAGAGATAACAGTTATTGTAACCCAAATAGGACAATGTACTTAAAAGTGTACCCTACTTTAGTATAATTGTCTTAGGTGTTTTATAGGGGATTTTTGCCTGTTAGTTTGGCTATTAATCTGTATGCATGATGAGTCACTTTATAAGGATTAATAAAATAAATAGATACATGAGTCCAATGCTGGCAAGAAAAAAGAGAGAGAGGATGGAGAGGAAGAAGGAAAAAAAGATTGAAATATGTTACATACTTGTACCAATTCTCCACAAAGAGTACAATCATTATGTAACAGGAACACATACTAACCAAAATAAACTTTTTTAAAAAGGCCTACTCTTGACTCAGTTGTATTTAATTTGCTGTGTGACACCAGCAGAATTGTTGAGCCAATTTTTGCCTGACCAAAAAAAAAAAAAAAAAAAAAAAAAGAAAGAAAAAGAAAAAAGAAAAGTGGAAAGGTTGTATCACAATAAATTCTGAACTTTTTCCTTATTATAAAATTCTATGAAATTAACTTACAAATATTGACTAAAAATTTTAACTAGGGCTAGGTGTGGTGGTGCTTATCTTTAATCCCAGCACTCAGGAGGCTGAGGCAAAAGAATTGCTGCAATATTGAGGCTGGCCTGGGGTATACAGTGAGTTCAAGGATAGCCTGAGCTACATAGTAAGACCCAGTCTCTAAATAAATAAATATTTTTTAAAAACTAAGTATAACAAATATTCCTAGAGCAAATTTATTCCTAACAAGTATTTTGCCCTAAACAGCTCCGGCCTGTAGGTTAGCTCTTCTTCGGTGTACCCAATTTGCCCAACTTCTCTCTCCACGACCCACACTCCCATCAGCTCCTTCTCTCCTATTTTTGGAACTTGCAGCAAACACAGATAAAATGAAGAATTTCTCCCTGAATGTGTTTCCTGTCACAGTTGCTGTTGCTCAGCACCACTGAGGGTGATTCAGCCTTCGGTGTTTTGATTAAAAGTAATGATAGCCATGTTGTAGATAAAAGATATGGAATCAGATCTCTTGTATGATTAATCATACTTTCGGATTGTGTAAATGCTTCATTTTCAATGACTGCATCATTTGTAATGTGGGTTTTGTGTTCTGTCATCAGGCATGTGAACGTGTTCGCACATAAGGTATTGAACTTGACATAAGGTTCAAATACCAGCTGTCTTTTCTCAGTCTAACCTAAATAGAGCAATATAACACTTGGTCACTCTGGAAGGGCTGAATTCTTCTATAAAATGCTTGAAAGTTTTTGAAATTATATCAGGCAAAACCAATCAAATTGTACCTTATGCAACACTTTAGTCATTCTATTTAGTCAACACATATATACTGGAAGAAGACCTGTTCCATCAACAGTTATGCTTAACTCATGGTCCCCATTCTTTCCTGTGAGAGACTAAGACAAGAAGACTAAGCAAAATGTACAGCTTCCTGAAAAAAGGGAGATATAGTGGAAAGCCACAATGTCTGAACTTCCATCCCACTTTTGTACATTACTAAATATTTGATCCCAGAGAAGATAATTTGCCACTTTGAGCTTTATATTCTCTACAAGGACATCAATAACTCCTACTCTGCATTCTTCACCAAATCTTTGTGAGGAGAAACTGACAATGTATAAGAAAAGAAGGAATTATTACCCATATATAATGCTAATTACCAACTGTCACATATATTCACTCATTTGCTTCTCATAATAACCCTGTGTTACAAGAAACCTGTCATTGAAAGTTTAGATTTGTTAATAAAACATGGAACTGGTATTTAAACTGAAGCAGACACTATGCCCTTACCCTCATATGATAAAAATTACACAAAGGTAATCCAAAGTATTTTAATGCATGGAGGAGAGACTTTATTCACCCTCCCCCACTTTTAATGGGAATCTGGAAAAGATAAAAAGTGCCCAAAATATTTTTAGTGCACATCATATAATTAAGATGACTTGGCTCGGTTAATAACATTAAAATGCTTCACATTTTGTGTTTTTTCCTCACACAGTTGATACTTTTGAGCCACTGGGCTAAAACATACCATGCATTTATGCAACAATTTCACATTTCTGTCCTAAATTTGTATGTCAGTGAATTAAAATATTTTTTAATATCACGGCACTACAAAGTGCTGGACACCAGGGAATCCAGTACTCCTGCTTTTCTGCTTCTAGGGGGAAGCAGAAACTAGAAAACCAAAGACACTCACAATCTTCCGGCAAACAAAGGCAGTCATTATATCTTCTGTACTTAGGAGCTTTTGCTCTGCCAGGCAGATACAGAGAGCACTCATCTCCTTCCAGCTCCCAAATCCCTTGACTTCCTCTTTCTCCTTCTCTCTGTCCAGGGTCTTTTGAGGCAGATGACCAATAAGCCCCTTGTTTCAAATCTCTGCAGCAACAAGCAGAAGCTACTCTCAGTATCAACTGAACCATAAGTCCTTTGAGGATGCAGGAAAACATCCACCAATCTCAACATCAAAATGCAAGAAAAGGAGGTGCCACCCACCACTGCCTTTTTTCATAAAAATGACAGGAGCTCTGGGGACAAGACACAGTTTGAACTTCAGATAGATAGATATGAAAATATACATATATAATGCAATATATATTGTGTGTATGTATAAATGTATACAGCACAACATATATTGCATTATATATTATATATGGGTTTTTTTTACCACTATAAATGTGTGCCAGGGCTAGACACCTTATTTGCTCAAACTTCATGCTCAACTGCAAAGTACATGGCTTTGGATATGTACATAACCAGAATGTCGAGAAAAGTACTCTCAACTCAGTTTTATCTTTAAAAATGTTCATATTGCATAGTAAAATTCATTATCAGAAGTCATATTCTACCTTTGAACCTCTTCGCAATTCTATTGTCTACTTTAGATGGAGCTAGGGATAGGATCTGAGCCCAGACTCAACAGATGCCAAAACTCTTACCCCTTCCTTGAAATAGACTGCCCTGCATGCATTCCAGAGATCAGAGAGTTATGGTTATATTTTCTTAACTATATTATTCAATTTCACAAAAGCATATAATTTGGCATTATTGGGAAACAAAGTCAAAAAAGATCAAATGGGAATAAGAACATTAATTTTTGGAATTTTTAATGTTTTAATCATTGAAAGCAACATATCCACTTCAAGTACCAAGAGAAAACACTGCCCTTTGATCTTATGAATCCTGTAATATCTCTGTGGTTCCAGCTGCTAGAATGGAGCAACTAGCTAAACCAAGAGAAGGCTACCAACAGACAACCAGATCAATATAGAAGAGTAACTTGAAAATCAAATAATAGAAGATTGGAAAAGCAGAGTAGCCATCTCTTTTTAAGATGTCAGCACATGTCCCAAGTAGTGTCCTCCAACCTATCATTGACCTGCATAGTCCAACAAACTAGGACTGCCCAAGGGCGTAGGACTTTGTTACCGCTCTTTCAACCTCCTCCCTTCTTGCACTACTGGCACAATAGAATTATTCAGTCCCAATGACAAGAGCTTAGACTTGATCCCTCTGGACTGACTCTAGCCCTTTCTAACAACCCTAGCATTAGGGCTCCTTCGTTAGCTATATGGTTGCTTTCCAGAGACAGTCTTTCCAATAAGTCAGTAGGAACTGGATCGTCACTGCCAGTGACACCCCAGAAGGAGCTCTGCTAGACCAGCATTCTGTTCCAAGGGTGAAGAGGTCTTGATTGTGAGACAGGACAAAGCTCTACAGTCATGTCTTTCCTCAACTGGGAGGAATGACCCTCAACAAATTCCATCCAGAAAAAGTGAAGGCTACTTTAAAAGCACTTAGTATCATCTAACAGGTCCAACTGAAGTTGGGAGTGGTTAATACCCATGAGTAGACCATCTGTCATTGGGAGAGCAATAAGATGTCAGTATTGGGTCAACTGGCCCGAAGCACACAAGTCAATTAAGCAGCTCAAAGAAGGTGACATGAGGCATGAGTGATGCTCAAAGAAGTTGACACACCTAGGGTGGCCAGAAACAAAACAAGAGTTGTTAACTCCTTGGATAACATCTTCCACTCCTAAGATACATGGAAATTACCATGGAAAAAGAGTAATAAACCACTAAACTAAAATATGATCTGGTACAGAATGGAAATATCCACAATAAGGAAAGAACTTCAAGCCACTTTGATCTATGCTTTGGTTCAAGGTCTCATTAAAATCAAGCAGTTTATGTTTGGACCAATAACTAGAGCTCATAAAAGTTTATCCTCAGACTGAGACTCTTTGAATGGGTAGGACATTGGTCATTTATGGTGTTTGATGACTATGAATGCCAACAAGACTATCATGCAGTGCAGAAAGCTTCTTTACCCTAGATGACAGGGCCTGGGGTGCTTCGGACAGTAAACAGGCATAGAAGCAGTCCTAAGCCATGGCAGTAAAACTTCCATTGACAGATCCACGGGGAGCATCTACTGTGTGTCAGAGAGAGCTAGGCAGGAGGGACACACAGAAGAATGAGATATAGGCCCTGCCCTGGAGGCTCTAGACATGGCAGAAGGCAATCAAGCACCCTGGCAAGCAATAGGTCTGACTGTTTCAGTGGCTAAGCGGAAGAACAGCTGCTTCCCCAAGGAAGGATTCTAAAGGCTTTAGTAAAGAGAAGTAACTGGACTCTGGCAAAGCAATGAAAACACCAAGAACTAAAAAGAGGTCTATTCTAAGCACCAAATAGACACTAAGCAAGACGCAGAAATCTGAACTAAGGAGTGGATGCAGGTGGAGAAAGCCCTGGAATTCTGG